AAAGTTTCCAAGTATAACTAGCATCTTGACCCTCTACAAATACATGATTCATATTATTTGTAGTTGGATTTCTGCAACAGTTACATCTGGAAATAATTTGTTTGCCAAAATTAATAATGACATCATCAAAAGGAAGTTTACCATACCAGAGCCTCCAAGCCAGGAAAGACATTTTAAAAGGGATAGTAGAGTTTCATACCTTGTTGATGAATTGCACTTTTGGACTAGCTTTCCCTACCAAACTCCATGCACTTCTATTTGTGAATTTGCCATTGTCTGATATTTCCCAAAAGACTTGATCCTCCTTAGTATGATTGCCTATGGAAATGGTTTGGATATGTTGTATCACATGATCTGGTAAGAGATCCTTAAGCTTGTTGATGTTCCATTGACCTTCTAAAATGAACTCTCCAACTAAAGTTTTGGAGCTCTTTGGGACATCAGGTACCAACATAGCCAAAGGTCCCATAAGGGACCAATTATCCCACCAAAAACTACTTGAGCCAGAATTTACCAGCCAAAAAATATAATTCTCTACAATATTCCTTATTTTGAGAACATGATTCCAAGCATGAGAATCTCCTGGAGCCAATTTTTTGAGACCAAATGGGATCTCACACAATATTTGTTACTAATGAATCTAGCCCAAAGAGATGATGTGGATCTTATCCTCCACCACCTTTTCATAGCTAACATGTTACTAATATCCTCCAATTTCCTTTGACCTATGCCTTCTTCATCAATAGGGAGAGCAAGATGGTTCCAAGAACTCTAATGATATCTCTTGTGCTCCTCAGAGGAACCCCAGAAAAAATTAGCAAAATGCTTCTCAATTAATCTAAACACTCCTTTAGGATGAGACATAGCAGAGAGAGTATAGACAGGGATAGATTGGAGGACACTCTTAATCAAAGTAATCTTACCACCAGGAGAAAGCAACTTACCTTGCCAGCCATTTAACCTTTTAACAATCTTACTAATCATATTATCAAAATACTCTATTTTTTTCTTCCCACATAAAGAGGACAACCTAGGTAAGTAAAAGGAAAAGGCTTGTCCATGAAAAGGCTTGTCCCTTACATCTTCATCATCTGCATGGAAATGCTGTCAAGACTAATTCACCACGAAATTGACTACTGCAGATGGGACCCAGTCAAAATCTCTTCAAAAGTCCCCCTCTATCACACCTATATTTTGCAGATGATCTAATCCTCCTAGCAAACGCTAATAAAAAAATATGCAACTACATCATAGACACTCTCAATAAATTTTGCGCACATTCAGGCCAATCTATCAACTTCAACAAATCAAGGCTAATATTTTCCGAAAATATTCCAATAGACATAAAAACCGACTTTAGCAACTCTTATCAATAAGCCACACTAGAGAATTCAGTATGTACTTAGGATTCCCCATAGGGTTTTCTAATCCCTCAAAGAAAGATTTTCAATATATAATTGACCGTCTCAACAATAGACTAAAAAGGTGGAAAATCAACTTCCTTAACATAGCAGGAAGGACCACTCTTATTAAATCAACCCCGGCCGCAATCCCAATCATGTTATGCAAATCTACAACCTTCCCCAAGCTACTATTAATAACGTTGATAGAATCCAAAGGAACTTCCTATGGGGGAGCACCTCCGAAAAAAGAAAATGCCATTTGATAAGTTGGGACACTGCCACAAAGCAAAAGAAGGATGGGGGGTTGGGACAATACAAAACAAAATGGAAAAACCAATCCTTTAGCGCTAGCTTAGCTTGGAGATATAAAAAAGATCATAAATCGTCCCTTTGGAGTAGGGTACTTCACAACAGATACAATAGTGGGAACCCCCAACAAAGCTAGAATCTCCAAGATAAAAATTGCTCCCATATCTGAAAAAATATTGTCCGGGGCACAGACATTTGTAAACAAGGTATTCACGGGAAAATTGGAAACGGGCAATCAATTAAAATATGGCAAGACGCCTGGCTAGGTAACAAGAAAACGTTAAGAACCCAAATCCAAGGGCCCTTAATGAGTCATGAATAACATCAACCGTTAGCAGATATTATTGAAAATAACTCTTATAACCTTAATAATTTATCATTCCAGCTCCTAATCGAGGTTAAGAACAAAATCACTAGCACCTACACCAAGCAATTCCAACCTATTAAAGACAAATATAGCTGGGGCAAAAGTACCAATGAGACTTTTACTATCAAATCAGCTTATGAAATGCTCATGGGGGGAGAGGAAGGGGACGCAAAAGACTACAAATGGCTATGGAAAATTAAAACCCTCAACAAAATAAAATTCTTCCTATGGACGGCTATTCATAATAGACTCCCCACATCACAAATGCTCTTCAACAAGAATATTACTAACTCTCCGACCTGCAATATTTGTAGCACTACAAATGAAAATACAATGCATATGTTCTTTAGGTGTAAGTACTCCAAAACAATCCGAGATCAAGTTGGTTTCAAGCTTCTCCCCCCCCCCCCCCCCAGAACCGCCAGACCAATACACCTTGCACAATTGATTAAAAGCCCAAAGTAGCTGGAATACTAGGTTCAATGAATATCTTGACTGGTCTGATGTCCTCCCCTTTATCCTCTGGCACATTTGGCTGCATAGAAACAAGACGATATTCAATAATAATAGTAAACCTATTATCCTAAAAAATATAGTAAACAAACCCATGGAATACAAACTCCTGGCCACAAACCAAAAAAGACCTTCCATAATTAGAGACACCATTCTCATTAAATGGAAACCACCGGAACCAAACATCAATAAACTCAATATGGATGGATCATGTTTTGGAAATCCAGGAAAAGGTGGCATAGGAGGAATCATCAGAAAGGGCAATGGGGAATGGGTTTTTGGGTACAACATGAGTTTTTCACATACAACTAATATTTATATGGAAACACTAGAACTACTGCATGGTCTGAAATTAGTCATAGAGAACAACTACCTCCCTCTCACTACTGAAGCGGATTGTAAGGAACTCATTAATCTAATTGATAATAAGAACTGTTCCTATAACCTAATTGATGATTGCAGATGCCTATTGAGTAGAGCAGGGGATCCGCCACTACAACACGTCTACAGAGAGGCTAATCAGGCGACCGATTCAATGGCGAAGAATGGAAGCAGCTTACCAATCCTTGGAAGCTTAAGGACTTATCTAATTCCTCCTACTTTTGTTGTTTTTATTTTGGAAAGGGACAAGCTAGAAACTACGTATCCTAGAACAGTTCCCATATGTAATGAATTAGTATGTGTTTTTAATATATGTCTTTATTGCCAAAATAAATAAAAAAAAATTAGGAAAAACTCGCATTCCCAAAAAAATTGTGTACTCTTCAGTGAATCCTTCTTTTTGGAATAATCTCAAGGTTAGGGAATATTTTCAACAGTGTGCAAAAGTATTAATTTTCCAATGCTCCTGCTCAGCAAAAGATAAGCAAATAATATTGTACTACTCAAGAAATTTCCAAGGAAAGGGCTTTCTTGAGACACTTTTAGCTAGCGCATTTTATAGGGCAGCCGGATGCACAAGGCATTACTCGGAGTTTAAAAAAGAACCGTATTTTATTGGGTGTGATGTAAATAGCGTACCCTGATACAAGAATTAGTGGCTCCTCCCACAGTTCGAACCCATCACATATAGATCACACAAAAATAACTATATTGTTGCTTCAAGGCTCCCTTCATCTAGCTCATTTTATCACGTAAAGAAAACATAACTTATGAGGTAAGAAAAAAGACTACTACTCCCTCCGGTCCAAAATAAGTGATTTTTTGGATGTTTTCACACAAATTAAGAAATCCACCTTTTAGCAATAATTAGCAATGGAATTGACCATATTAACCTTTACTATCTCACATAAACACTCCTAACATATATTCCAAGATCGGAAGNACACTCCTAACATATATTCCAACACCATTTACTTCAGAGACAATGTAGGAAAAAAATAATTAATTCATTCTTGAAATCTGAAAAAATCACTTATTTTGGACCACAAGAAAAAGGCGAAAAAATCACTTATTTTGGACCGGAGGGAATAGTTGCTAACAAAAGTTGGATTATAATGAGTCATTAATGCCTAATTATTCAAATGTGGAGCTTAGTCAGACCCCACAATCACAAACGGTCACCAAGAATTTAAGTCTGACCATATTGTTATGTACCAGCAGTCCAGCACTACGAATTAATACCTGTACCATAACAAAAAGACAAACAACAACGCTTCCCCTCAACCGTTCCTCGATCACTGCACCAACAATTTGGCATGCACGTATCCTTGGTCCATTACTTGTACCTTGACCTACTACATCATTAAAACCTCAAAGAAATTCCTAAGTTTAGACAGATAAAAGAGTTTTCTTGGAACAGAAAAATGTGTTATGCTGTCAACAAATTCGTTGTCATAAAGCTTTATAACTAAGGTTACAATTGTAAATTCAGATATCAGTTCAATTGAACTAAACATAAAATGAAGCTAATCTTTGACATGATTTCTAGTTAAAATTGATAGGCAATTGGCTTGATCACTTTTTTTGGCCTGCTCTTTTGGATTTGGTGATATTTAATCACGGTGCTGCTTCAGCTTATCGAGAACATGATCATCTATAAGAGGGTGTGGAGATCAAGAATTAAGGTAAAAGGTTAGTAGGTAGTCGATCATTTTTCTTTTTCATACTAGTAGTACCAATGTTAGTCTTGTATTTTTTCATTCTTAGATATCTATCACTACATGCTTTCTTTCCCTTTAATTTTCTTATTATCTTGATATTGTTATTGCAATTTTTATCTTTTGAGCTGAGGGTTTATCGGGAATAGTCAATTTACCTTCTCAATGTAAGGGCAAAATCTATGTACACACCTATGAGATTAGCCTGGATTTTTTGTTAGTTGTTGTTGTTGATATCTATTCATAGATAAAGTTAAAATCACAACCCTAAAAAGGGAAAAATTAGAGAAAAATATCAAAAGCAAACTGTGGTCGAAGCAAAAGCACGCCATTAGTAGATTAATCAGCTCATTACAATAGGCCGCAGAATCAAAGATAAAGACCGTCTGTTGACAATTCACAAGACAAAAGTTGCTTCATGCCATCAATAAAGCACTTTTGCATAAAATGACTGGAAAAGTGAACTTCTAACCATAAAAAACAAAACAAAATAATAATAAGAGTACCCTTTTGATTAAAGACTAAAGGGTTCAACTTTCTAATTAGCAGTAGTACTTAAAATTAAAAATTAATTAAATACTGCTCTGTTCACGTGACCAAATATATGGGCATAGCTGAAGTTGTCGAGATCCTATGCTGCTGCGGGTCCATGTTAAATTCCCTGAGGTTAATGTAGGGGATCTCCAAATCACCTTTCCGGCTAGGAGTCAAAGTTCCGGTGAGTGGACCGGACGACGGCCGGCTGGTTGTACGACAAGGCGTATTCGACCCACTTCTACTCTCAGTAATATAAACCGGCCCAGATACTGATCCTCGGAAAGTAGCACACCGGCGGTGAACTTCGCCGTCGACGTCAAGATCACCGTCGCCGGAGATATTTTCATTTTTGGAACTAGTGCTCCTCTTGAAAAAGAGCAGAGCATTTTTCCACCATTTTTTACGGCTACTGTTCTTCCTGATCTTTTTTGAATATTCGTCTTTTGATATTGGTTTTTGTAGCTTGAAATGAACTGTATCTATAGAAGATCTTGCCGTTTCTCTAATCTTGTGCTTTCTTGCTTCTTCTAAAATCTGTTAAACAGGGGTGCAAAATTAAGGACAAGAACGCATCTTTATTTAAGATAACAGGTGCAAAATGAGTTGTTTTCGACTCAAATTATGTATACGTACTTGAACTAAATTAAAAAAATAATACCTGAAAATAATCGATTTGAGGGTCGAAGCCATAGTCACTGAAGTGTTGAGGTTCAACAAAGGGGAAAATGGGGGATCTGTTTGACATTTTGTTTTTGTTTTTTTCTGTGGTTTTGTTGTTTGCAGTTTGAAGAGGGAATTAAAAAGGAAAATGAAGAGTTGGGGGGAGAGGAAAATGGGAGGGCAAAGATGGGATAATAAGGAATCGCGCCTTGGGGGCTCAATGGCCGTTGGTATTTGCAAACCCTACTTAATGCCTAAGGGTTACTTTTGCAACTTTTCATGATTTTATTTATTCAATTCAACTCTCAATAGTACTAGTACAAGCCTTCTTCATATTTAATGCAATTAAATTATTTCACACATTGAAAGATGGTAGCATATGAAGCATGACACAAACTTTTAATTTTATGAGATTTATGTTGGCGTCATGACTCATGAGTTGATAAGAGGTCTCTTTTAAATTCATAACAAGATCTCTTGGTCAAACTATATTGAATTGAGTTATGGTTGTAGATTAAAATTGATGTGAATGCAACTAATTTGTTGAAATATTTTGTCCATACTCTCAGACAACAATGCAAGATAGGTTTTAGCTAAAGATAAATTTTAATTTAAAATCCTTGAATAGCAAAATATTCAGCACTTAAATATTGTGAGTTCTAAATTGAAAGTGCTGTTTTGAATATAGATTTCTCTACATTTCCTATTTTTAGATTTTTATTATTACATGTTTCTTTCGCCTCACTTTCTTATTATCTTCTTGTTGTTGTTACTGTCTGTTGCTATTGCTATTGCTCTTTTCAAGGTAGGAGCAAGATTTGCTTACACACTATCACTCCCACTTGTGGGATTATACTAAATTTGTTGTTGTCGCTGTTGTAGTTATAGAGGCATCAATGCGCTAAGTTTTTGCCGTGGAATCATAGTTAAATCGAAAAAGGGTTAATTATATCCTACAACAATCCGAAATAGGTCGCTTATACCCTTCGTCAAAATTTGGTATCAATTATGTCTTTGCCGTCTAAGTATCGGACCATTTATACCCTTATTGACTAACAAAACTCTACATAAGCTGCCACAATTGAAAAAAGACCCCACATATAATAAAACTGACCCAACCTCCCTTTAACCTGACCTGAACAAAACAGACCCAATCGAGGGTCTTCTTTTACCTTTGCAAGCACCCTAATTTTATTCTTCAATATCCATTTCACAAAGAGCTCTCCCTATGACTCATTTTCTAATAATTATATCTGAAGGATTGGTGGATTTTTGTGAGATATGATGTGTGAGAAGATGCGCTTGTGGACTGATTGCTTTGCAATTTGACTGCTTGGACTAATACAAATGCTGGGAGAAGGTTCTTCAAATGTTCAAGACCAAAAGTAAGTTGCATTTGGGTTCCGATTTGCTTTGCATTTTCAGAAGTTGTATTTGATCTTTCTAAAAAATGTATACTTATTTTCAATTATATATTTTGATATTTTGTAGATTAGTAACTATGGTTATTGGGAATGGCATGACGAAGAGCGCCCTCGTGGAGCGGTTATTGTGATAAAAAATTTAAAAACAAAATTGGATGCTATGAAGGTTGAAAAGAACAAATTGAACACGAAAGTCGATGAAATGGAAGAAGCTATATGGTTGAAAGGAGCAATTCGAACAACATATTTGATGAAATGGAAAATGCTATTAAGGTTGAAAGAGACAATTTAAACACGAAACTTGAGGAAATTGAACTTGTTAATCTTGTGGAGGTTGGAAAAGTTAGTAATTTAGAGGAGAAAGTTAAGTAGTTGAGAATTATCATTTTGATTTCATGGGCGTTGTTCATTGGATTTGCTGTTTGGTTTGGGTCAGGTTAAATGGAGGTTGGGTCGGGTTTATTAATGGGAATTTTTACCTCCTGTAGCAAAGATTGATACCTTATTTATCTATATATCTATATAAAGTAGGGAAAATAAAAGATGAGTTGGCATTTTTCTTTGGCCAAAGATCCTATTTATCTATTTTCTCCTTTTTTTGGATTTTTCTCATTCTTTCCCAATTTCATACTCTTTTATGCTTTCAATGTGGTATTAGAGGAGTCTAAAGCCGTTTCTATTCTCTAATTAAATTTTCCTAATTAACCTCCCACTCTTTCTCTTCTTCTACAGAGGTTACGTTTTGTATGGAAAAGGCATTGAAATATTTAAAGACCCTACTTTGTCATCGTTACATTTCAAGGTGTACATGTTGTTTTCACTTCTTTTTCTTTATTCATCTTCTTCAATTTCAATCTTTCTTTGGATTTAGTATTTTACGTCTCAGTGCATCATTCTTGCCTATGCCCACACTTGACTTGGTTCATTAGCATAAGAGATGTTAATAAATTACGCGAGATTTTTTTAGGTGGTAGTTCTGTCGAACTTAGAGCTATAGTGTTGGACAAGAAATTATATTTACATAACATTCTCATGTTGAGTTTAAATTGCCCCATTTACTATTGTTGTGAATAGAAAAGTTTGCAGCAAAAGAGAATGAATATGATTAGCATTTTTTGTATTTGTACTAACTATTTTACTATTTTTTTAATTACAAATATACCATAAAGCTTCAGGATAAAAACATGAGGACAAGAAGGAAGCCCGGATCAGGATATTAAGCAAATTTCATTACTCTTAATATGGTATTGTGAGAGGTTTAGTTAATGATTATAAGGCCAGGTAAAATTTTGCATGATGTCTTTTATTTCTCTTGCAACTCTTTCTTTTCAGAATTTATTTATAATTAGAAGTAAAGATTTATATGGTTGTATGAAAGTTCTCAGCAAAAAGCAGACATGCAATGAGAAATTGATGCAAGTGTTGCTGCAGGCTTCAATAGTTTCTTTACCATTTTGCTTGCTCTTTCAAGGGTTTTCAAATGAGTTCAGGTATTTCTTTCTCATTTTTGGACATTTTTTCCCCCTTTAATGTAGATGCACAGCTAGGGGTGTTCATGGTTCGGTTTGGATCGGTTTTTCCCTAAAAAGAAACCAAACCAAGTAAGTCGGTTTTTCAAATATTAGAACCAAACCAAACCAATTAAGTCGGTTTTTTCTCGATTCGGTTTATGTCGAGTTTTGTCGGTTTCGGTTATTTGTCGGTTTTTTCTTAAATATATGACATACACTACCAAACACATATTTCGGCGACCACATTTTCAACGTAACACTATCAAATCAATTGCCCTTTGAGAAATCTATTATTTACCAAGATATATTGATGATAATTGAATCAAATGGTGATGAATAATTTAAGGACTCAACTAAAAATATATTATTTTTAACATGAAATGGATTCTTACACTTAACAAAAGAAAACTACCAATCAAACTAGAATGTAAAGGTAAAGAACTATACTAAAAGTGAAAACTATTAACATTTACCATAAAAAATTTGAAACTTTGCATAAAAATATAAATATGTATATAGGTGTAATAATAAATTTGAAATAGCTACTCCTATAGTTGGTTTGGTTCGGTTTTTTTCGGTTTTTCTTCTGATTAAAACCAAAACCAAACCAAATTTGATCGGTTTTTAAAATTCAAAACCAAAACCAAACCAAACCAAAAAGTATCGATTTTTTTGGTCGGTTTGGTTTGGTTTTTGGTTTGGTTCGATTTTTCGGGTTTTTATAAACATCCCTATGCACAGCCAACAAAACCTTTTTCTTTAGCCGCTGGAACCATAGAGAGTAAAAACTCATTTTATATGAATATAGGATATTAATTATTCACAAAAATTTTATATGGACATAGAATATATACAAATTATTCACAAATATAACTTATGCATAGGATACAAATTATTCACAAATATTAACTCCTGGAGAAGCTACATCTCCTCACTTTCTCCTGTATAACCCTTTCATTTGTCTTTCAAAGTGAGCGGTGGTTGGACTTTCAGTTTAAGCTCTTGTGGATTCCTTTTTCCTGACTATCCCATTGTTTATGAAGTTCTATATTGGATTTGTAGGAGAACTTTCAATAAAAAAGAACATATTATTTTTTTTAATTTTGCACAATTTGGAATAATTTGATGATGTTGAGGGTAAAAAGACATAATACTATAACGTAGGAGTGATTGGTTATGGGATGTTACGAAAATGATAAGAAAAATGAAGTAGAGTATGGACTTTTTTTATTGAAAATAATAGGGTAGAAAAGTATGAAAGTTGGAAAAGAGAAAAATACAAATAGGAAAAACGTTAAAATAGAAATAATGGGGAGGAAAGAAATTCATTTGATTTTCGTAGATTTGTGATATTTTCCCTCCCTTTTATTCATCTTTCTTCTTTTTGCTTCTTGATTTTAAACATGGTGAAAATTATGAAAATAATAAAATTTAACTATATAATGAAAAGGAAAATGTTAAATACTTATATACATGTAAAATCTACACATTACCCACATAGAGATCAATTTTAATTGAAATTCATTTGTTCACATATATTATTTTTAAGAAAAAATTAGCTTCACCTATACTATTATACAAAAATAAAAAATTGAGAAAAACACAAATTAAGTGTTAATCTAATTTATTTGAATTGAAAATAGTATTTCAAATGTTTAAATTATAAAATATTTGTATTACTCCAATACTATTTAAAAATTAATATTAAATCTATTAAGGTCTTTTATTACCGCGCGAAGCGTGGTCAAATTCACTAGTTTTAAATAAATACCCTTTTAAAAATTATATTTCATAGCTACCTTTTGATTTTTATAGCCAAATATCTATTTATGGTTATTTTCTACCCTTCAACAATAAAATACTCTTTATATTATTTTTCTCTCTCATTCTTTCAGATTTTTCTCCACCCTCTCTCTCTCAACGCCAATCTCTCCATAGAAGATAAACTCGTCGAAGAAGAAGTACTATATTAAAGTGTACCCAACTCCTTTGCCGTCGTCAACCCTCTTCGACTCCGATTCTCGTTCTCATTAAAATGGTGACATCAAACTTTTATTACGAGAAGCTGCAAATTATGTGTAATTGAGGGGAGGCTTATGCTTGATGGGTTTGGTAAAAGTTGTTAATGGGGAAGAAAAAGTGGCACTAAACAGAAGCTGCCATTGAATTTACATGTAGTTACTGTTAGGTTTGTTCTGGCATAACTTTGCTTTCTATTGCCGGAATAGTATCACGGTAACGGGAATAATGACGTTTTGAGTCAGAATCGCGGCCCTCTCGATGCGACGACATTAGGGTTGTTCTTGAACAAAGACGACGGTAT